TAGAGGAAGTTTTGGAGTGCAATGCTTTTATATAAACATTTTGCAGAATCTGGCCCTTCAAATCCTGTCTGTATTTCCAGAAGTGCTTTGCAGTGGCTGATGGAGACTACCCTAATCATAGGGTGCTGGCCGCTCTCTTTGTTTTCGGTTAGGTTACATTAAAAACATATTTTTGTAAGTAGAATTTTTGAAGTATTTACATAAATAATTGATGGAGTTGTTAGAGATGTTATGTGACTATGAACGGTCTGTGCGATCAGAAATAGAAAAGAAATGGTCCTAACTGTGAAGAAAAGTATTCAGTGGGATCATTTCTCTATTAGCCTGTCCAGTTATGAAACAAGGATGACCCATAATTTATTTGTGTTGCTAAACCAAACCGTGCAGTGGAACTGGAGATATTTTTTCAAGGGCAGCACAAACCAGACCCATCTACGAGGCACACCTAGACTACTTTCTAGTTGCCTTTTCACAAAACCGTGAGGAAATCACACCCATCTTCTCTGACAGGGATTGCAGTAAGGTGAGCTACACACTTCTGGAATAAGAGGCTGTGACTGTTTCCCTATGTATTAAATGTTCTTGTAAATATTTATTCCTTTGTGTAGCAAATACAACTAATATAATTATTCATGTAAAGTTTGGTTAAATGTTAACTTTTTTCTTCCAGGATGAAAAGTTCCATTAAATACTTAAGGAAGTTCAGGTTTATGCACTTTAATCTGCAATGGCCACTAACAGCTGTTTTGGGGTCAGAGACCTTTTTATTTGAAATTCTCGAGTCTATTTTAAAATACAACAGCTAAGCCTATTGGATGAAGTGTTTACCTCTCTGTTCCAGCTGGCCCTCCACTTTGCACATTTTGAATGTGTGATTAAACTTCTTGATGATGTTGTGAAGCACCTTTTATCAAATGTCCTTAAGTGGCTGAGCCAGAAGGCTGTTGGAGGGTCATCAGTGCTCTTAGCAGTGTTTAAACAAACAGGTGACCAATGGACACACAAACTCCTGCTGACAACAGATGTAGATGAACGTGAGTAAAATACATTCACTTTAACTGTGATGCCCCTTTCGAGGAGGAAAGGAGAGCGATGGCTTTGGTAAGTTGCAGTCTCTATGTTACAGGCACGCTTAGCCACCAGCTCTAATGCTCGACTGACATTGCTTCCTTCAAGCATCCGACAGTCTCAAAAGGCAAGATGGACAAAGGGAAGTTAAGGGCAGAGTTGGCTCGTTCACCAGCCAGGAGACACAGCCATAAGGACTGCAAGGTCATAGTGGAGCTGGGAATTGGAGGGCACCTTCATCTCCATGTCCCTGGTCATTCCTTCAGCAGCAAAACTCCAGCCTTCCTTGTAAACTAGAACGGCTGACTTCAATGCTGAAATGAGAAAAAGCCCTAGCTTAGAGACTGAACGGCCCCCATGGGATTTTCTAGGCACCTGCAAGGTATCAAAGCCTAACGCATTCAGTATTTTTGGAAAATAAGACTGAGGATGTCAAGCAAGGAGCCAGCAGTCACAAACTGTTTAATTCATGCTGATTTTCCCAGAACTGTATCCAAGGAGGATGTCACACTCTTCCGTTCTCAAGTTCAACCTTTTCTCTGAGTGCATCAGCAGGTTTCACTACTTCTGAAACTGTACTCTCCTGCAGATATTTATAATCACCTGCTGCTCTCCGTAAGTAGGATTTCACTCACCTTCCTCCTCCCGGCCTCAGGTTGTCGTACTCCTCTGCTATGCTGCTGCTTTGCATACAGTCCTTCCAACAGCCTGTTTCCCTGCAGCTCCAAGATATGCTGAACTCAAAGGAGACCATTCACAGACGTGGGAGGGAAGTGTTTACTACAGGCAGCAGGAGCAATTTAGGAACACATATAGTATTAAAAATGTAGAATCACAGCAGCGCAGCACATACTCCTAACGCATCCCTACATGTTTTTAAAGCTCTTCAGAGTTTACTAAAGTTCACAGGCTGATCCTGTACAGGGTAATAATGAGAGTTTTTCAAATGTCCTTTTAAGTCTCCCCATCATTTCATGTCTGCCTACTGTTCATTTCATTAACACTGTCAGAGATTAAAACTGCAGGGCCTTATTTCTGACCTGTTCAACTTTAGTTTAGGAAATACATGGAACAGGTTAGAGAGACTATAACATTGCTGCTTTTGCCAAGTTGCTAGATGTGTATATGTTGTATAGCTCAGATATACATGTACTTTTTTCTCTGTATAACACAAATGTACATTACAAATGCCTTAAAATAGCTTATTCTTTAAAATACTGCAGAATTATTTGAAAGTACAGAGCATGGTTATACAATAAATAAGGAAAAAGTCAGTGCCATTATTGGCACCTTCAATATAATATAGTAACATACACATGCTACCAGCAGTATTATCTCAATTCAATCATATAATCCCTTGATTTAACATCTTTGTCATAATGAAGTATATGTAAATGAGAGGTGCGCAGCTGTAGTTCAGAATCAGTACTTTGCTTTTCATGGATTTTTCACGGATTTTATTTATTTTTTTAAAATCAGACTATGTTTGTAGGAACTTGATTCTATCACTGGAAATAATAAAGGGTTAAATGTAATTAGCAAGCTTGTGTTACTTAGCCTTTATCTGTGATTATTACAAACGCAGCACTGCAGTGTAAAATGAAGGCAGGTACACTTATCAGTTTGATCTAGAAAGTTGGCCTCCGGGTTCATGGCTTGGTAACCAAACTCTGTATAGCCAAAACATCTGAACTTACTATCTGTGCAAAGAAGTGTAAGAGAATTAGGTACAAGGAAGTTTTCACTTTAATCATCTTCTAGTTCTGTCTGCCCAAATGCCAATAACAACAAAAAACCCTTTCCTTTTCTGGCTAGAACAGCTACTTCTCATAAATCTTATTTGTGCGTTTATTAGACAGGTTCTAGTGCCTACAAAAGAGGGGGGCAAGCCGTTAAGTTCAGCTCCGCATTCAGACATTTCTGCAAGTTTAGGCCTGTTTGGATTCAGTTTATGTATTCCGATTTAGTTTAGTATCTGCTGTTTTAACCTCTGCACCTGAAGTAGGTAGGCCGAGGAACAGAATTTTCACACAGCTAACATTACATCCAGGTTTTTGCTTTGGCTGCCGCCTTTCCACAATGTGACATAACATTCAGCAAAAATAAAACTGGAAATAAAATGAGGACTTGGGACATGGTTTCTTCTGCTCTTGAGAGAGGTTTCTTTCAGTGGAGGGCAAATTATGCCAGAGTTTGCTTTTCCTGGGTGTCTTACCTCCCTGGTGTCTTGTACTCAGATTCCCCTATTTTTTTGGCTTCTCAGAAGGACAAACCTCATGTCAAAATGTTCTGCAGCACATGGCAATCTGCAGCATTTTAAGCAGTGCAGAATTTCTGAGTGCAACAGCTACAAATAACATAAGGGAAATGGCAGAAGGAATTGTTTATTTGAGAGTACTTCCCGTGGCTCTGTTTTGTGAACTCTGCAGTTTATCCAGGTGCACGTTGTCTGTTTTTCACAGAACGTTAATCTCATTTTCTGTCTGTTATTGTGGATTTTTTGTCAACAGATAATGCAAGCCAAGAAGATCTGAGCATGAGTTTTGTAAACAACTAAATTAGGACTCACACCTTCCACTGAACAGGAAGAACAAGGCCAAAACAGAAATAATTCTGTGAAGATCGACAAACGGGCATGGGTGCAAGTTAAGATTGTTAACATTGACTCACTTTGACAGAAATGAAAATAGGAAGCAGTGTTTGTTATCAGACTGCCTCTATTGCTCTTCCAAATCTGCCTCAAAGGTAAAAATTGCCCCAACAGCACACTGAGATGCATTGTCGTTTCCCACCTATTATGTTTTATGGTTAGTTTGGATTTTTTGTTTGTTTGTGAGCAGCAATTTATATAGCACAAGCTTTTACTGTCCTCTGATTGCTGAAATACTGCCAGAGAAATCTGATAAAGAGAGGACTTTTTTCATCCTACAGAATCTGCAGTTTTACATTAAGTTAAAAAGAATATTTGAATGCACATCTCACTGCAAGGGCAATGATGAAACCAGACTATGACAAAGAAAATATGAAATTAAAAACAAAAGTCTGAAATTGTCAATGTGAAGATGTTAAAAAATATCCACAAGATTCTAAATTAGTGTAATAAACTTGTACTACAGGATTATGTGGGAAACAGTGGGTTATCATTTCCTTCTTTTTTGTCGCAGAAAGAGTAGAGGAAGGTAAAAGGAAATCATCGTAATCTAATATAGTTGACAGCTTTGATAATTCAAAAAAAAGTGTAATTTATTTAAAACTAACATAATAAGAGTCTTACTGTACTGAGAATGTCACAGTATGTCTCAAGGGAGAACAGATATATTTTGCTTGTTTTGTAGCTGTAGGCTTTGCATAGATATTCTACTGTAACTACATTTTAAGAGACTGACTCTTTTTATTTCCAGTATTCTCAAACCTGTCAAACATTAAATTGTACAATACCTTTTAAAGGCAAAGGTTCCTTTACACTTATTTATATATGTGAGTACCTATAACCACAAAAACTACAGCATAGAAAATTGCTGTTAGCTGGTCCAAATAGAACATTAAGTTTTCAAAAGAATGGAAAACAACTAGGGATTTACACAGAGATCACTGATGTTTCAACTGTTGGAAACTTCCTTCTCTTTTAAAGAATGTAATTTTAAGTTATATGTTTCTAGACAGAGAAATACAAGCATTAAGAACTTCCATAAGAAACTATACCAACAGTTCAGAGCAAAAAGCACAACCATATACCACTAACAAAGGTCTGTTTCATTCCCTGTTTTCTAGAATTCATTCCAACAATTAGCTATCAGCAATTCGCTTTCTCTTTAGTAAATATATAAATGTGTAAACGAATAGTTCATATAATATGTTCTTCCTTCCAGGAAACAATCCAGTAATCATTCTGTTGTGGCCCTGTGGATATTCTCTAGATACAAAAATGCTCATCAAAACTCATCTGTAATGATGAAATGGGGCTGATCTTCAGGTTTAAAGTCTAGATTGGGGCTGCCGTCCTCATTCAGGATTCTGCGAGACGTATAGCCGACAATTGGATATTTGGCCTTGTAAACATTATTGAAGGTATCATCCAGGGACTTCAGTTCCTCTTCTGTGAGTCCTGTCTGAATGAAATATTGTCAAAGAAATGAAAATGCAGATATTTACATATTGTTGTTGATTGGTCTAAATCTTAGGGTCAGCTCTGGGGTTTAATTTGCAGAGCATAATTAACAAAGTTGAAGGTATAGTTTTATTCTTCCCTTTCAAATTCATCTTTGACAAAACTTTAATAAGTTCAGGTGAAACAAACTGTTAGTTCACGGAGCAAGTGACATGACAAACGAGCAACAACTAACTCACTGTCACAGTTAACGTCCACTGCCTGCTCATTAACTAAACGAGTTAAAGAGTGATTTACTCTCTTTGGAAGTATCTTTTTAAACAGCAGGTAATTTCCCCTTAACACACTTACTTACCTGTGGAGGTTGTACTTGTTCCACAGATTAAAGCTTTCCCTTTCCAAGGCTTTTAAGACTTCAGCATTCATGAGCAGTAAACACATAATCATGTTATATATTTAAAGAATACTAATTAATTTTGTTTTCAAATTAGACTAAAAATGTAAATCTACTTAATATAATACAAATTAGTTGAATATAACCATCAATCATCTTTCGTAGCTTTTAGTATGTATTGACAAGCAGAACATACAGGATAAGAATAAAACTTTGCAAAATGGAATTAAGTCAATAAGCCAATTTCTTACTATGTCATGAGTAAGATCCGCTGGATCCAGAGACATCTTTGCAACCCCTCGTGTGGAGTCTTTTCCAGCCAAGGCATTATATGGGGCTCCTTTTCCATAAAACTCTGTTGTTAGAGGAAAAACAATGCTCTGACGTTATAAAGGGCAGACTCATGTTAAAGGGCAGACTCAGCTTCTATTTTTCAAGCAGTTCACTTCTCAGTGAGCCAAAAGCAACAATTCAAGTCTATGATTTTTTCTTTCCTAAAATGGATTTTGAGTTGCTACTGTATTTTGATAGTATACCCCAGTGCTTAAAAAGAGATAGTGGGATTGTACAATGCAGCTGTTTGTTAAACTCCTGTACTCCACTCCTAAAATCTATCTGTTAGGGAATGATGCTTTAGATTCCCATGAGAGGTTCAGATACTGCAGAGTTTGCAGTGCCAAACTTCATCTAATTTAGGATTTGTCAACATGTCATCATGCAAACAAAGCAGTAGAGCATTAGGTTGCCTATTATGACCTTAAGGTGAATATACAGGACCCTGTTGGTCCTCCAAATATTTTACAGCAAGTGTGTTTGCTTTCCTGTTAACTATAACAATATCCTTTCAGTCAAAACCCAAGACATAGTTCAGAGACTACTTACCTCAACTAGGTAACATAGTTAAAAGTATTACTGTCTTTTCTGTATTAGAACTGTAAATTGAATTCAACAACAGGAATTCAAATCAAAACATCTTTGTTTCCTAGCCAAGGCACGGACAGCAACTTCAGCAATAAATGGTTGTTGTGTAAATGATGAGACATAAAGTCTCTTGAAATAAGAAAACTTTAAAAGAGAAAATGTTACGTAAGCCTCCCTCCCTGCACCCATCGAGATTAAAAAATAAATAAATAAGGTATCATTTCTCCTTCAGTTGAACTTTGGATTTGTAGGAGTTTGATGATATTAGAAAATGACTGAACAGCATCATGAAAACAAAGCTGACCACAGAGTGACAAAGAAACTCACCTTTTCCAGAAGTAACATCAAATACTACTCCCTTCACTGCCAGGTAAATGGGCTCTCCTTCCTGGAAAGAAAGAAGGGCTGTAGGTCCTCAACACTTAAGTATAATTAAAAAATAAACCCCTGCTTTTGGTTGTGAAATCCATAATCACTCCACACACTGCAAAGAGAATAAAATTCCCTACTATGTATTTCATGACCTTACAATCAAATGCACTATAAATATACTGATAAGGTTTTTTTCTGACCCTATAATCAGCTGCGTGGTAAAAATGACATCTGTGGGTGTCTGGGCAATACTTTACATGGCATTTCTATACTGCTTTCCATTCTGAAATGTTTTGTTGTTTGGATAGTAAACAGTAGAGCAGACGTCGGTTAAAGCTCTGCTTGTGTTGCAAAGATCTGTCTCCTGTTTCCATAGACACACGTGGACCAACACACACACACAGTATCTCTCTTGCTCGTACTTGAAACTGTTCCGGAGGCTTTCTGTGGAGCTAAGCACATGGAATGGGGGGCTCTATTTAACCTCGACGTCACTTCTGTCTTGCAGGTCACCTAACGCGGCTTGTTTGCTTGGAGCCGATTAGCTGCATCTTTTTATTCCTAGCGCAGATGGGTATTGCTGAGATAAAAAGATGTTTGGCAAGCAGCAGTCTTCATTTGGGTAAGGGAATAACAGATAAACACACAAATCTGATGGGCTGACAGCAGTTACTTAATAAGCTTGCGCTTCTGCTTTGTCTTCTGCTGTTAAAGTGAAGTTTTAGTCAGTAAGACGATGACTGGTTTCTTTCAGGTCTCTCGAGGATACCCTTGGGCCAGCACAGGAGAAGACATCCGTGCCGGATGTTATCATTTTGAGCCGGGACTTGGGTGGCAGGGAAAACGAAAACTTCGGAGCTGAAATTCCTTTGTTAATTCTATAATCTTGTAGGGGTGGGAAAGAGGCAAACAAAACAAAAACCCAGCACACGTGATTTAATGCACTAACGCTATTGAGAGCAAGCTGCTCGGGGCCCAGCTGAAGAGACGTGCAGACGCTCAGCGGCGTGTTGTGCAGCAGGCCGCAGCAGCACGGGCTGCAGGTCTGCCCGCGCTGCGGGGCAGCGCTGAGCCTGCCG